AGCAAAGGGAAAAATGTCCTGCTCTTAATTAAATGCATACTTGAGCCAAAAATAGATTTAAGAACAGGATGTGGCTTTTAAAAGTGTGAGAAAGTATTTCGTTTAGAATAATTAATTAGGATGAAGTTTTATAGCAAAGAAACTAACATAAAAAGATTAATTGAAGCTTTTTATGTTACACACATATATATATATATATATATATATCATTATAACAAAGAGATATAAGTAATAAAAAGTGTAGGCCATGTTTCTAAGCATCAGAATGTAATATATCAGGTTGAGTAAAAAGTTTTCCGCCAAAGGGAAATACCTCCGTGCCTGCAGCAGCCATTGCCGTGGTGGTTAACTTTTTTTGAAACGGGCTTTTGTATTTTAAAGCAGAAAGTTGGAACTACACAACTGTGTAATTTGTTTGTCAAAACTTTATCATCTCGTGCACCAAAAAAATTTTTAAAATGGAGCTATCACGTTAACAAATCAGACCCATTATGTACTATGAGTTCCGAAATAAACTAAGTGTAACTGAATGCCACAAGAAAATGTGTGAAAGTTTAGGTTTCAATACTGTTTCTTATGAGGATACAGTAAAAGTTTGGTTTCGAAAGTTTAATACTGGGAATTTCAACATTGAAGATGAACCACGTTCTGGCCGCCCTATTGAGGTTGATTGTGACCAGTTAAAGCAAATTATTGTTCAAGACAGAAATTTTTCATCACGAACTATTGCGTTAGAGCTTGACATTTGCCAAAAAACAATAGCAAATACTCTCAAACGCATAAATCTAGCATTTAAGTTTAACCGTTGAGTGACTCGCGAATTGACTGCTGAAGACAAGAGCAAGAGAAAAGCGGCCTGTTTGGTTCTGCTCAGAGATCAAAGAAAAGAGGACGTTCTGGACAGAATTGTGACCTGTGATGAAAAATGGATATACTACAACAATACTAGCCGTAGAGGAGGGTGGTCAGCATCCGGGGAATCAGCAAGTTCGGTTGCAAGACGAACGCTAACTAACAAGAAGGTCCTTTTCCGTATCTGGTGGGATTGTTGTGGAATTATCTACAAGGAGTACCTTAAAAGCGGGTAGGCTATCAACAGTACAATATACAGCAATATGCTAATCAAAGTTAGCGATGCGATTCGCGAAAAACGAGAAAACGAGCTCAGAAGGAAGGTGATTCTCTTTCATCAAGATAACGCTTGGCCACATGTTAGTGCAATGACCGGCATGACGCTCCACACGTTAGAGTGGGATTTGATGCAACATCCACCATACAGCACAGACATGGCGCCTTCGGATTACTATCTGTTTTCAAATCTGTAGCTGCATCTTGATGGCACAATCTTCCGTTCAAATGACGAGGTCATAAATGAGGTCGATTGCTTTCTCTACTCGCGCACCCCCCAGTTCTTCTCAGATGGGAATGAAAAGTTGCCAAAACGTTGGCAGACTATTGGTGATTTGAATGGAGATAAGTATTCTCATTAGTTTTGCTGATTTTGTATGTGTTTGTCATTTTTCAGGATTTTTNATTTTTTTGGTTTTTTTTTTTTTTTTTTTTTTTTTTTTTGGCGTAAAACTTTTTACTCAACCCGATATATATATATATATACACTATCCTACAATAATGGAAGAAACACTTTCAGTTTTTGACATTTTTTTAAATTTCTCAAAAAAATACTAAGCAGATTATTTTGCAACTTTAGAGGTGTTTTCATGCGATTTTCGTATTTACCAATAAGATTTAAAGCTTTCAGAAGTTTGAGAGACTGACAAGAAATTACGAAAAAAATTAGTATTTTTGAAGCTATGCCCGAAAATCAAGCTATGAGCTTGTAACTTATATCAATAACTTAAGTTGTTATTTTAAATAACTGCTTAAAATTTCGTAAACCTAGAGTAAATATTTATGGAGTTATGGACAATTTATTTTAATAACTAATTTTTTTGTCTTACGCTTTTCGCTCTAACTTTAAAAATGTTCAATGGAATTAAATGGAATTTTTGGATCATTGGAATTTTTGGATCAGTATAAAATTAATTACAAAATTATCTATTTTAAAATTTTAAAAAAATCATTAAGAACTGCGGAAGATATAAATATTTAAAGTAGTTATTTTATTCTGCGCATGCTCTCAAAAAATTTTGAAAAAAAAAATCAGAATTTTAGGGTGAATAGTAATTGGCAACTAATGAAAAAGTCGAAATATCGTTCTGCCCATTTTACTGATTTTGTGACAATTCTATTTCCATCATGAAGAATGCAGTTTTCTGATTGTTAATTTTGTCATCTAGCTGCGAAAAATTAATATCCTTGCTGACATTAAGGCGGAATTTAGCTAAATTTTCGCAATTACAATGGCTCAATTAAGTCAATCAGAACCCTGTATTCTTGTAAAGATATAACATTTTGCGATTTGTAAAAAAAGGCCTTTGATTGGCCAAATATGCCCATTGTAACTGAGAAAATTCAGCTTAATTCCGTGCCAGAAAGCCATGGATTTACAAAATAGAGATCTTTTGTGCTCATACGATAGATTAATGCAGAAGCTTGCATAAAATTGACGATTTTACATTGTAATGATATTTTGTTTAAAAAAAGTTCATTAGTTGAAAAAAAGTTCAGAAGAAAACCTAAAATAAACCTTCTATTTGATTTGGGGTCCAGGGGCAACTGCCCCGTATGCCCCTGCTTTAGTCAGACTCTGATTATGAGCAAGCCTGTATACAACCCAGCAAACACAATAGGTCAACTTTGCTGCCCGTAGTCGGCTATATTGGCAACTGTCAGTTATCGGAAAACCTTATGTCGGTAGTTTATCGGTATTAGTCATATCAGATTCGGGCTAGTAACGAAATTTTTATGTCAGACCGATAACGTATTACAGATATCGAAATTTAATATGCATTGATAAAATTATAGAAATCACGATATAGTATTTAAATTGGTGAAACAGAATCGGCGTCATAATTGAGTTTTAAAAGTTTAGCTTTGCTTTAGGAGATTGAGAAGAAGTAAAACATCTCTATAAAAGCCCAATCATTAGAACGCACTGTACTAGTTCCAATTTTCTGAAAACAATGATTAATGTAAAAAAAGGAAGTATATTTACCATTTGAACTAATTGTAATTCATAACTCTCTGATGTTGCTCGTTTGAAAGAGATAAACGTAAAACAAATAATATGAATTGAGTAAAAAATCCATTTCAAATTCATGATAAAACTAAATGCAGCATAGTAACGCAGTCTTACAGACGTTAATGTTTTTGTTTTTCGAGCAAATAATCTACGTTAAAACTAAAAGTTTCATCGTAAACAACACCATGACGTTATTTTGAAAGATATGTAACAAAAAAGTGATTCTTAACGACAAGAGTAAAATTTTTATCGGTATAATATTTCCACGTTTATTGGAAATTTTATGTCTATATCTGTGTTTGAGGTTAGTGGTATTCGTTTCTTTTATTCTGTTTTATAAACAAAGCCAAAATATAAGAGTGTTTGCTCTACATAGCTGAAATGGGATACTTAAAACGGATGATTTGCAACGTTTGGTTTAAAACCAGTTTTTTTTTATTTACCAGGGTACGTAAAAAAATCTCTAACTAAGGCGTTTAAATCGGTGTATTAAAACTATGACGTTCAAATATTTTAAATTTATTGTTTTGACGAAACTCTACTGGAATTGAAAAAAAATAACACGCTTTTCGTTTCAAGTTAAACACACGGTGAAAAAAAAATCTGGTAAAATCATACTGTATGGTAATGACATATCTAGTAAAAAGAAAACAACATAATTCTGGCTGATAAAACCAAACGGCATTTAAACCATTTATTTGATTGTGTTCACGTCTATGTGATAACAGTTAGCCGGAATTTCGGATTTTCGAAATTAAAGTTCTTACTACCATACATTTAGTAAGAAATACAAAACTGAAAATTGAATTTAGACGAATGAATAGTTTTTATACCATATTCAAGGGAAATCATGACATAATTACCAAATTTAATCCCATATTATGAAACTATATTTAATTGCTAATTTTACTGACATCATAACCAAAACGCTTCGGTAAAAATAACTGAGCTTTTTGGTGTGCTTATAGAGACAGAAACACGATAAATTGTACCATATTCTAGTAGTTGAAATCATATTTTTTTCTCACTAAAAATATATGTGTTAACAGAAGTGCTAGGACATACAAGGACAGTGTTAACAGAACTTACCAGCTCTGTTAACACTGTCCTTAATATATATTTTTTTAGATTTTTTATTAAGATTAAAATCAATAAATTAAGTGATGAAGGGATACCAAGGAGATTTTAGCTCTATGAAGATAAAAAAAACTTCAACAAACTCTGACGAAGGAGGGGGGGGGATTGAATCCTTCAAAACATATTTAATTGCCAAAGAATATTGAAAGGGCGTAAAAGACGATTTTATGAAACATCTTGGAAGTTTCCAACCACCTAACTGGTTTTTAATAACTTTGGCAAGAATTTTAAAAAAATGCATTTTAGGGTGGTGTTTACGAATCACTCAGTATTTTTTCAGGAGGTATAGATAAATTTGTTATAGTGAATTTTTTAGCACGGGGTTCACTTTACGTATGTAGTTGAATAAATAATAACAAGAAAAAAAAATAGAAACCAAAATTGAATTTTCGAGTCTGCTGTTCTTGTTATTTTTTTAAAATTCAGTTGATCGAAAATTGTAAATTTAATGTGTTCATGATGTTCAAATTATTTACTTTTTTTCACATTTTATTATTTAAAGAAACGAGTAATTGAGGATAAAGAAAAGAAAAATCGAGGAATACCAAGGAAAGAAAAATAGGAGGAGGCATACCTAATATACCAGGAAATTTCCAAAAATAGTTCATAAAATCGAGGAAATACCAAGAAATGCATTCAGCTAAAAGAGTTTTTTTGCCATTAGCAACAAAGCAAACCAGTATTAAAAGCTTTTTTTTTTCCTGATATCAAGAAATTCGTGTTATCGAAGTTCGTTATATCGAGGTCCGACTGCAAGCAGTTTCCCCGATAAATAAATAAAAAAATCAATTATTGTTGCCAAAAATTAACTGAGAGCTGGGTGGCGACAAAAAGGTTTCAATTAGCCAATAAAGCAATTTCGTTTCTTTACATTTTCATTTATGGCTAGATAAAATCAAAATCTATTATCGATAGATAACAAATACAAGCCAGCTGAGATAATCTTATAATATTATTTTGCGTTACGCTAAATCTCATAAGAATATCCTTCATCACTGTCAATGTTATTTCATAGATCTCGATTGAAAAATAAATCAACACGATTCGGAAATAGAAAATTTATGCTTATTTTATACAACAAATTCGAGTTAAAAACTATTTATTACAAGATTGCAGGATATAAAAGGCTTTATTTATTAGGAAAAGTGACGCCCAGAAAAGAGTTTTTTAGGTAAGTGTCATACCAAATCATGTTTATTTTACTTTTGCATACTGTAGTTCTCACTGTTCTTCATGTATATATTTTGTAATACTTGAATGCATTAGGAAATCACAAATTGAACTTTCGATCACAAATTGAACTTAGAAAAGCATTATCCAAACCTGACGAATTATTAACGAGTAAGACGAGTTATACACATAAAAAATTCTTTTGATTACGGGAGAAAATATATAGGAGGTGAAGAACGATTATTCGAAACGTTCTGAAATAATTAAACTTTAAATTTTAAGTTTTTTTCAAGCTTAAATAAAAATTAGCGACCTAATGTATACATTGATTTGCTTCATTTTTTAAAAGAAATTTAATGGTCGTACATTAAAGTCATAAATAAAGTTGTAACATTTTATGTGTTTATTTTTTTTTAGATCACCTTAGGTTTGTACAGTATGTTGTGGAATTTTTATGAAAATCTTTTTTGAATTTATCGTATAATCAATGTGTTTTAAATTTCAAAAACTTTAGCTATTATTATTACAAAAAACTGATTCAAACCGTTCTAAACATAAACTTTTAAAATTAAAAACTATAAAGACAAATACTTATTACTCAAATTCTGCTAATTTTCACAAAGCTTCAAAAGTAATTAGAAAATTTTCAATTTCCGAAGATTTTGTAATATTATAAGTAACAATTATTTTCTCAAAAGGAAAAGAAAATTCCTATCGTTATTCCAGGTGTAAAAAAAAAGGAATTAGAAAAAACCAATGAATGATTTGAAAAATAAATTTAAGAAAAACTGTAAATGAAAGGTTTGCTGCGTTTTTGCAAAAGAAACTAGATTTTATGACCGATTTTCCAAACTACCGACAAAATTCGTCCCCAGATGGCATTGATAACAGGAAAAACTGTAGAATAATGCCTTCTTCTAACTGCCAGATCATTCACTTGAATTATTGTTTGGAAATCTAGCAAATGTTGTCTAAAAACCACATCATGTTTTTGCTGCCAACGGTAGTTATTTTTAAAATATTATTTTGTAGCTTATTTTGTTGTCAGCCCCACATACCTACGAACATTGTAATTAATTTTAAAACACTATTAGAAACAATATTTAGTTTTCTAAACAGATCGTAACAAACCTCTTTAGTTTCTTTTTATTGATTTTTTTAAAACTTCGCTCATTTTTTAGACAAACGGAAAATAAAGAACTATCAGTACACTCAGCACACAGATTTGTGTACTGTTTAAATTTTAATGTATCGCATGCAAAATAGTTCCCAAAAGTTAGAAACTAAATTAATCTAAGAATTAGCTTTGAACAAAGTCATTCTTAACAACAAAATGTCGAAATAAATAACCAAAAATGTCTGACTTATTTTTGAGTAAATGATTTGATATCAAGGAAATTGTGATAACAAAAACTACTGCTTGGAATGATTTTTAATGTTCGATGCAATATGCTTGAAAAATAGATGAAAACTACAAAAAATTTATAAACATATTTCTAAAATTTGCTTATTTAAATTCTTTTTCTAAATAGCTTTTCGCCATCTATGCTGCACACATCAGACCTCATTTACACGATTTTTAGTTACGGGTATTGAAAACAAGTGGCAACACAACAATGTTTAACCAACAGGCATGTTTTGTACTACTGTTCACTTTGATATTCAAAACAATAGCTGATGATAACTATAAATTGCAGTTTGTTCAGATGGTATGTGCACTTTTATTGCAATATATTTTTACATTGTTACCACTGAATCTAGTAAAATACACGCTGTATTTGATATATAAGTCATAAAGCATAAAAAAGAAGTTCACAATTTTCTACACCAGTAGGAAATGATTTTTATTAACTATTAATAACTATTAATTAATTGTTAATAACAAACAATTAATAAGAGTACATTGTTAGAAGATCTGAATTGATTATCTAAGTTATCGATCTTATTATATAAAACACTAATGTGTGCATGTAGATTGTTAAAATAGCGGATGAAGTTTCTTACACGCATTGGCAACAAGGAACTTAAACTCATTTTATTTAAGAGAGCAAAAGAACCTTTCTTTATGTAAATTTCTAAAAATAAATTGAATTATTCAATTGCATGGCAGGAAAATGGTGTTTACTATAGACAGGGAAAAAATAGGGGGAAAAAATCACAAATAAAATTACATAAATTGACATACTATAGTTTTGGTTATATAAACAAAAACTTTTACTCTGTTTCTAAACACCAAATGACAGAAGAGACAAACACGCCTAAAGTTGTTTAACCAATAGAGACGGAGGAACAAGTTTGAACAAGATAATAAAAAAAGTAAATGAGAAAAAGGAATCGAAACTGGAAACTAGATCCCTTAGAGTTAAAATAGTGGAATAGTATATTAGAGAAGTAAAGAAACAATACTTTGCACATGTTTATTTCATTACTTCTCTACAATCACTTGAACGAGAAGGATGGTCCTTGTTTATAGAACCGAAACTATGGTATGTCGATTTCTGTAATTTTATTTGTGCTTAATTGATATTTTTTTTGCTTTAATTTGCATAGTACAAAGTATACTCGATTTTTTTTTTAAAGATGTTTGTTTATAATTAAAACAATAGCTTTTCTCAATAAAAATATTATTAACATCAATATTTAAGTAAAAAATTACCATAATAATTACTATTATTTCTATTTTTAAATCTTTTTACATTTTACAAGTTTTATGTAGCTAGGGGCGTATAATTAAAATATATTTTAGCAATATCCAAAAATTAAATCTATGAGAGATTTAAAAAAAAAAGTGCATGCGTCAGATTAGAGGGTCATTGTAAAAGTAAACACCAACTGCACATCGCAACTGCACATCCTATCAGGCGACGTCAGCTCTATGTCAGCAACACTTGGCAAGTCTCTTACTACGTGCCATTACGTTTAACGTCTCCGTTGGTGTTGGTTGTGTAGTTATACTGCTTCGTTTGTCACCATGTCAATCAGTAATCCCATCGAATGTGAAGTGCGTTCAGTTATTCGCTTCTTAAATGCAAAAAAAAGCTCGTCCTGTTAGAGGCCACGTAGAGCTTGTAAAGGTTTATGAAGAAGGTGTAATAAATAATGGAATGATGTAGGCTTTTTAAGGAAGTAAGAACACATGTTTATGATTAAGAACGATTATGATGGCTTACATTCTTGAACGGGAAGTGCCGTATCATCCGCCATACAGTCCTGACTTAGCATCGTCAAAATGTCATCTGTTTCCAAAATTTAAGGACTTTCTGGATGAAAAAAGCTTAGAATAAAAATGACATGTTGAAAGGAACTGTTATTAACTGGTTTAACGGTCAGGCGGCAGGGTTCTTTGATGGGATACAAACGCTTGACAAATGCTTCAATATTAATGGTGACTATGTTTAAAAGTGAATAAATGTTCATATTAAAGTTAATGATGCAATTTACGTTTATAGATGAAGTTTCTCTTACTCAACGATTCTTACTTAAAAATGACACTCGTATTGAGTGTTACCCGAAACATGTTTCAATTATTTTGTATCCAAATTTTGCATTTTGTATCCATTTTGTATGTTGCACATCCAAATATCAATATTCTAAACATTCCAGCAATATCTGCAAGATATCCAAAACATTTATCTTCAGTCCTTCTGAACTATTTGGCAGTCTTTTCGTTTAAGCAAACATGAATTTTTTTAGAGAAATTTTTAGAAAAAACATAGGAATGTGCTGAAAAATGCATGATACCATGTTAAAGATGGACACAAGTTAAACATATCTATCAAAAAGAATTAAAAGCTCTACGGTGTAACTTATTTTTAAACCTTTTTTGTAATTTTTCCCTACATCACCTACTATGAGGGCCACTTTTTCCTTGAAGTACATACGATTTTTAGAGGGCCATTTTTAGAAAATTTTACAATTCTGAAGTTAAGAGTAAGGAGTCATATCCAAGATAGGCAAGAGTTAAAAAGAACATTTTTTAAAAAAATTCGCATTTGTCTAATTGTTTATTAACATTAATTTTCAGATATATCGTCATGGAGACCGTGCTCCGAAAAGGACTTATCCAACTGATCCAAATCCATTAGGAGTTTGGACATTAGGCTTGGGAGCGTTAACTCAGGTACAAATACTTCGTAATAATAATATCAACGTTCTTTTCTTTTTAAAAATTTTTTTAAGAACTTTCTTTGCATAGCGTTTAATAATATTTGATATTTATTATTTTATATTTCTTTTGTCATGCATTGCATATGAAAGTTTGCAGGTGTTTCTTTGCTACTTGGTCGTTTTATTTTATTTTAAAAAAGGCGTTAAACAACCGACTAATTTTACAACTAGCTATATTCAACTTCGTAGCCTTTTTTTTATTTTTATAGCCGTCGTTAAACAGCCGACCCAAATTTTTAGGGGGGGGGGAGTTATGACTACTAATATTCAACTACGTAGCCTTATAATTTTCAACCCAATCCAGAAGACAAGGGAACTCTTGGATCAAGTATAGGGAGAAATTTGACTTCGTGGAGGTCTTTTTGATGAAACTAATACACATTTGCGTTACATGGAGAGGAAGAGCACGAAAACCTCCCACGGTAAGTCTGTCACCAAGAGGACTCTAGCACATGATCCGTCAACCACTGAGGATATTTCACATCAGCACTGTGGTGGATGCAAGCCGAATGCGGAATTCGTATCGACCAGCCATTGCCGGGATTCGAACCTGGTTCTGGAACCTTTGGAAGGCGAACGCTCTAGCCCCTGAGCCATCGCGTCTCAACTATGCAGTCTTGTACTTTTGAAACCTACCCAGAAGACAAGGGAAGGAGATGGAGAGAAAAAACCACAAAGATCCCCTTCAGTTAGCATCTCTCACGGACAGACGGCAATTGAATCCTCACCCATGATCCGCTTACAACTGAGGACATTTTATGTCAGCACTGTGGTCGATGCGAGCCGGAAGCAGAATTCGCTTCTCATTGAAGGTGAACTCTCCATCCTCTGAGCCATCGCGGCTCTAACTTGATCGTTTTTTACTGCCGTATTTTTATTAGTAACTCTTTAATTTTTAGACACTATAAACATGAATTTCAGTTACTTCTGAAAATCCATATATCGCTTTTTGTTACTTTAAGAAACGTGAGAGTCATTACTTAAAATCTTATCTCATTTTACAGAATCTAATTTTATTCTGTTTTAATAAAATTCTAAAAATCTTTACTGAATTCAAATTCTTATGAAAAAAATTTTCTTGCAGAACGGTCGGAGGCAACATTATCATCTGGGAAGACGCTTCAGGGAAATTTATAAAGACTTCTTCACAACCAAACCAACAGAGGTAAGCTTTGCTTAACTTATTAATAAATGCATTGCACATATANCAACTACGTAGCCTTGTAATTTTGAACCCAATCCAGAAGACAAGGGAACTCTTGAATCAAGTATAGGGAGAAATTTGCCTTCGTGGAGGTCTTTTTGATAAAACTAATACACATTTGCGTTACATGGAGAGGAAAAGCACGAAAACCTCCCACGGTAAGTCTGTCACCAAGGGGACTCTAACACATGATCCGTCTACCACTGAGGATATTTCACATCAGCACTGTGGTGGATGCAAGCCGAATGCGGAATTCGTATCGACCAGCCATTGCCGGGATTCGAACCTGGTTCTGGAACCTTTGGAGGGCGAACGCTCTAGCCCCTGAGCCATCGCGGCTCTAACTTGATCGTTTTTTACTGCCGTATTTTTATTCGTAACTCTTTAATTTTTAGACACTATAAACATGAATTTCAGTTATTTCTGAAAATCCATATATCGCTTTTTGTTACTTTAAGAAACGTGAGAGTCATTACTTAAAATCTTATCTCATTTTACAGAATCTAATTTTATTGTGTTTTAATAAAATTCTAAAACTCTTTACTGAATTAAAATTCTTATGAAAAAAATTTTCTTGCAGAACGGTCGGAGGCAACATTATCATCTGGGAAGACGCTTCAGGGAAATTTATAAAGACTTCTTCACAACCAAACCAACAGAGGTAAGCTTTGCTTAACTTATTAATAAATGCATTGCACATATAATTTAGAATTTTGTATTGTTTCTGTACTGAAAACTATACCTTTAAGTACCAGTGCATGCATTCTATAAAATACACATCTTAGCTACCACTCAACATTAGCACTAAGTGAAATATCTTTTTCACAATAACAGTAAGTATAAAATAATTTTCCCAGCATTCCATTTTGCATTTAATTCATACAAACGAATATCAATCGAAATAAATTTTTACATTCTCCAGGCATGTCAGACAATATAATTTTTGAACCCTGATGGAGGCAATATAATGATATTCCTCAATAATATGAGATTCCCATTTCGAATATCTTGCCCTGCTGCTGGCAATATAATTCAATCCCATAATAATATGAGATTACCATTTCGTTATAATGAATCCATTGTAGAATTCCGTATTGTTTCTGCACTGAAAACTATACCTTTAAATACCAGTGCATGCATTCTATAAAAAACTCATCTTAGCTATCACTCAACATTAGCTCTAAATAAAATATCTTGCCCTGCTGCAGGCAATATAATACTACTCATGAATAATATCAGATAACCATTTCGTTATAATGAATCCATTGTCTACCGAGCGTGTATTTCTTACTCTTAGAATTTAATCATCATAATGTTCAGTTACTATTTAACACCATTAAAAATTTTAACGACTATATACAAAATGCCGAATGGGACTGCTAAACAGTACTTTTTTTTGTTAAAAATAATTCCCTACTTTTACTCCATTAATGCCTATTAGGGCAACAACAAAAAAAAACTAATGAGCAATACTTCGATCATGGGTTACAATAGCAGCACAACTGAAAAAATCCTGTTTTCAGATAAGTGGGTTTAAAGTTTTCATTGCTAAGGAAAATGCATAAGAAATGCTTTAGTTTGCTTAAGCGAAGATTTCCTTCAAGTTGAATTATGAGTTGTGTATTGCTGCTGAAAGGACGCGTATTTTCACATTTACACCAGTTTTTAGTCCAAAACGCGTGTTTTTTTAGTTGTACCACGATTGCAGCCCATGAGCGACTTATTTCTTGTAAATACGTCTTTATAAATAATATCTAATTCTTCTTTAGCTTCACACTTATGATTAATACTTATAACAAGTTGATGAAAGTGTATTTTTTTTTGACAGATTAATAATCATAGATACATTCATATGCTTTGGTCACGTAAAAGTTTTATTAGGGGATGCATTATTCGGGCATTTTGTAGAGTAACATGCCCAAAAGAGCTTGTTGACATTTTGAGATTTTCTGAACACTGCCCTCCAGAGAATTATTCCGCATCCAAATATCTGAAGCTCTGTGGACCACCTATGATCCTATATAAACTATCTTTGGATTCGACACCAAGCAACCATTGCATTATATGACTGCTGGAGGGAATTTTTATTGCATGTCTCAACCTGTACACATATTGTTAAATTGATTTCCTTTTTTTTAACTTCCGATTTTAAAATCTAACACAAAATCAATTTTTACTCTTATAAATTTTAAATATGGATGGTGTTTTCTACACTAGGGAACGCTGCAAGCTCGGTACAGCCTAAATTTCCGGGTTACTGTTTCCGTTGTATTTTAAAGCCATTTGGCATCATTGTGTTTTGAGATTCCTGCAAACAATGTATTTGATTACTTATTACTTGTGTTTACAATGCTAAAAGTGTTAACACTATCGTAAGATGGTGCACAACTTGCAACAAGAACAAACATTAATAAACTTATGGAAAGAGGCCAAATCAAGACTGCCAAAAAAGCGAGTTCTTCAAAATCTAGCAACCATGTCACTTTTTTTAACAATATATCTCTAAATAACTAAAACAAATTTTCACTTCAAACTCACTAGAATTACATAATAACATTAATATCTTATGAAATACGGCAGATTTGAGCTCAGAAATTATCTAATTTATTTCTTTTATTGAAAACAAAATTATCCGTTTGAAAATATCTCCTCGCAGAATAACATGTAGTAAGCAGCTGCAAACTTTCTAACCGGAACTAAAGCAGGCATACAGCTCGAGATTGTTATTGTTTACATTTCTACTGAAAACACCATCCATAGTTTCGTACAAACCCTTTAAAAAAATTCTAGATCTCTTTCTTTTTTTTTTTTTTTTTTTTTTTTTAAATTTGGGNAATTCGTGGTCTCGTCTGGTTATATTGTTTCAAGTGTACAAAATGGCGTTTTCTAGCTTCTTCAGTTACTAAAATGATTATGAAAATTCTAATAACTATTTTAAATGTTGCTTCTTCAGTTACTAAAATGATTATGAAAATTCTGATAACTATTTTAAATGTTCCTTCTTCCATTCCAGGTCGATGCGTTAAGCAATAGGAATCCGAGATGCCTGAGTAGTGCTGAATCCAATTTCGCTTCCTTTTTTTCCCCAAAGCCAAGATGGCAATTCGAAGAAGGCTTATCCTGGCAACCCATACCCATAATTTCCATTCCTTTTGTTTTAGACGAGGTAAACCGTTTTTCATTTACTAATTCAAATTTTATTGTTATAAGAATGTCTCAACTCATCTAATCTTTCTTTCAGTACATAGGTAATCCAGAAGAGTGTCCCGCATTTCAGAAAGCCTTGATTAAACAACTAAATACTCCGTCTAATAAAGCATTCAATGCGAAGCATAAAGTAAGTCACGCGTATTCATAATAAATATTGCTCGCTATTTATTAAATTTTAATTCATATTATTGATTTCATTTTTTTATATAATGTAGGATCTCTATGATTATTTGTCGAGACACAGTGGAGCAAAAATAGATAATTATCTTAATGTTAAAGATCTTTATGAAACTTTGTATATCGAAGTAAGTTATTTTGAAGATCAGACAATTATTTTGCATTCACATTTGGGGACAAGAAATAAATTAGGCACATGTAGTAAAAATCTTAATGTTTATTAAAATATCACAATCAATCGTTCAAAAAAATGCAAAACGTTACTACCATTGTCGGTAATTGAAACTTTGTACATTGATAACAACGCAATGGCAAAATTTTAAAATTTATCTGCGGGGCATGTGGTAAAATGTTTCAATTCACATGTTGCGCTTGGAAGATTCGCAAGTTTTAACCCACTGTATTTATCTGCACCTGTTTATTCGTCACCTCTGAAAGGATTAAAAGCCAAGAATGTCTAAGCCTTAATTGCCCACTTCTGAGATTTCATGATCTTAATTCTGAGTTGCAAACGTGCTTCAGAATGTTATGCTACTCACCAACTGATATTTTGCACCCTTCCAGCTTCTGGATTTTCCAAGGATGGCAAAGCTCCATGAGGCTTCGAACATATTCTTCTTCCCAAGCTTGATAGAACGAACCAATTCATTGGACTCAACTTTGGTGAATAAGGCTGCCTTTCTTGTGCTTGTTCCACTCTAGTTGTTGTTTCTGCTTCTAATACCCCTTGCCAATCCAGAAAGCCTGCTTGGTGAAAATAAGCGTATTTAGGTATCACCTCCTACATCAGAAAGCCTCCACACGGTTTCTTATAAGTAGTCTGCGCAGATTATTTAAAAAGCGAACCACTTGTGCGCATGAACCCAAATTCTATTTTAAAAGTTCTTGAGAGAAATTCATCTTAAATATTTGAGAATTGAATCTGTAGTGGTTGACAAGTAAATAAAACAAACCAATTATATTCATAAATGAAACAAATTTTTAGATATATATTTGCTACCACGTTCTAATTTTTTATAGATTTGATATTAAATGGTTCTTTCACTAATTGGTTTACCTTCATAGTGGTCTGATCGGACTACCTACAAAAAACCGTGTGGTGGCTTTCAGTTATAGGAAGAGTTGATTTAGGGCAGAGAGTGCGTTTCTTGTTTTTCAGTACTCTCTGCTCAAAAATTTGCTATGATTCCCATAATAGGCTTGCCGTTATAAGTAGTAACAACAACAAAAATGGTGGCAACTACTTTACACAAAATAGTGTAAAAGAACATTTTTGGTGCCATAAGGAACTATCGCTTTTTATAGTGAAATACCAAGAAATAAAAGTTATCTACGGTGTTACGCTGTATCACTTCAGAGTAAAGTAGTTTTGACCAGTTTGGTTCGAATTTTTTTTTTTTTTTAAACACTGAATTCAGAAAGATATAACACAACTGCTTTTACTGTGTAACTGCTGTAGCAGAATCTTACATTTACAAAAATGAGTTCCCTGTAAAATTATTTTATTTTTAAACTTTGCTCAAGTTATTTCTTGTACATTCGTCGCATATTTTACAATGAAACTTTATTTATAAGCCAGACATAAAACAAACAATTCTGCTTATGACTGACTGAGTAAAATATTTTTTTAAAAATTACAAATTACAGTAATGTAGAGCTGAATGCTCGATGAAAATTAGTGAAACTGTAAGTTCTACTTAATCAAAAAAATATATAGATTTTTTCCTTTTACATTATAGGAAAAATACAAAATGATTATTCCTGATTGGCTTAGTTCAGTTTTAGATGAAGTGAGGCATGTATATAATAACGTGTTTGTTCATGCATTTAACTCAACTGAAATTCAACGTCTTCGAGCCGGTAAGATATTTTTTTTATTTGATTCTTTCTTAAATTAAATATAAAATTAAAATAATTTAAATAAATGAAAATTGGTTCTAATACTCATGATCAAACTATAATTGGAAAGCGCCCCTAGCTGCATACAATATTTCTGGCTATGGGTTGCGTTGCGATTCTCAATTCTTTTATGATTCCTCTTTCCCTCCAAGTTTTTAATCTCTGTACCGAATCAATTGGTATAAAGGTCACTGAAATGCTGAAAGATAACTATCTGAACGGTCAAAATGATGCCCGCCTAACTATCTCCATGACCTCGCGATTAGGCTTAGATATTTAGCATAATTGAAGAACAGAGTGGACGAACCAGGTAAGTGACGTTTTCCCAGTCGTATTATTCTGGGCGAGAAAAAACAAAAGTAGTATCCGAACTATTTTATTATATAATTATTAGAGAGTGTGGGCTAATAATACTTTGTTTTATTTTATTTACCACTACCTAACTTGAAATTAAAATCAAGCAAGTCTACTCAAAAGTAACGAAGATGAGTTACATAAAAATTAGAGTTACATCAAAAACAATTATGTTACATTAAACATACCCATATTGTTGCAACAACTTTGTTATTTTCCCTGATTAATAAATACCTCTAAAAGTCTTACCTACTTCATCCACTAAGCTCTTCAAATGTCTATAGGCATGAATTCACTATTAAAAAGATATTCTGAGACTATAAAGCCGATCTGTTGCTAAACGTAATTAATTCTTAGCCAATTTTTTTTCGAGCGAGTCTATCCATTTTTTCAGTTTATCAACTTTCAAGTGGTCAAACTTTTGTAAATATTAAAGAAAAAAGGCTTTTAATAGGTGTTTCGGAATCGCTATTTATCCCTCTTTAAAGCTGCGAAATCAATTTTAGAAAATATTAACAGTTACGCTGCTACTGTATATTTTTGTAGAACTGCTGACAAATCTCTCGTACGGGGCGAAAATGAATGTTAACATTGTAAATAATTAAATTTTACTATTAAATTGTTATTTTAGTTACTATATAGGATATTAAAATTCATAACTTTTTTATATATTCCATTTTTTTTATTCATAAAATAACACAAATTGAGTATTTGATCGATTATCACATTTTGATCACAGTTTTGTTTTTATAATCATTAACATTATAAAATAACATTTTTTT